AATCCACTCTTACCGAAATAAGTAAGACAAACACAAATATCCAGACAACTATGTCCTTCCTCGCTGAACAGAATGTAGAACTTAAAAAGAAGTTAGAACTTCTCGAAATAGAAAGGAAAAAGGACAAGGAACATATTTCTATTTTGGAGGGACAGCTAGAAGACTTAAAAAGAGATAGATTGAAGAATAACATTGAAATAAAAAATGCACCCAAGGCTGATAAGGAAACAAAAGAAGACCTTATAATTATGACCTTAGAGTTGGCTAAATCAGTCAACTGTCAGTTGAGTGAAAAAAGACATTAATGATATTTACAGGATAAGATTTAAGAGGGAGGGAAATGCTAGTTCCCCTATAATAGTTGAATTAAGCACTACCTTATTAAAAATGAAGTTTCTACAGGCCTGTAAAACATACAACTTGAAGAACAAGGATAAATTACGAGCTAAACACCTAGGATTAAAATCACAAGGTCAAGAAAATATCCCTGTCTACGTAGCAGAACAGCTGACCGCCTCCAGGGCTCGGCTGTACTTCCTTGCTAGAGATCTAATGAGATCAAAATCTTATAAGTTTTGCTGGACTTCCTATGGCCGTGTCTACGTCAGAAAATCTGAAAATTCACCCATTATCACTATAAATAATGAAGCAATCGTCCAAAAACTACTAGGAGAGCAATGACTAGACTTAATTCTTGAACCTTGTTATCTCTCTCTGTCTTTGCTTGCTCGGCCCATTTTATATTTTTGTTTTACCATATTATGTTATTTCATACTAGTTTTACATATTGCCCCAATAACACCCAAACCACATCTTTTTAACTACATAGTAAAATATCTTATGTTATTCTTTTATCAAATTTTGTTCCCGATTGTACACACATTACTCATTACTACTACCAAGACACATAAATACTTTATTAACAAAGGCTTGGATTCGGCCCTACACTACTACACACACACCTTCTCCAAACATATTCACACATTATCAGTACGCGATACTTTCATAATAAGTAGACTATTTAACACACTTCATAACCAACAAGCTAATAAAATGAATGGTTTATTTAAAATTCCATCCAATTATGGATAACGTAATCTCATTGATAACAGAAATTGACAATAGTGAGGTGGCTAATTCTAGCTTATGTGATGTTCATGACATATGTAACCAATCCCCTAAATTTCATAAAAATGATTTAAAAATAATTTCTCAGAATATTGTGTCGGTATACAGCAAGTTAGATGATTTCCAACTCACCCTTGCCCAGCTTAATTTTGAAGCAGATTTGATAATTTTAACTGAATGTAGAATAGATAGTGATAAACCAATACCCCAAATGGAGAACTACACTTCTTATTCGACTACAAACCATATAAACCAATGTGATGGTGTTGTTATCTATGTTTCTAGAAAACACAGTGTCAATGTCAAAGAAATTATTCTAACACATGCATCCTGCCTCCAAATTTTATTTTGTGGAGTTACCGTGCTAGGAATATACCGGTCCCCTTCACATACTAATTCCGAGCCCTTCACGGACTCATTAGACCGACATTTAACATCTTTGAAAAATTGTATTAATTTAATTATAACCGGGGATATTAACATTAACCTGATTGACAGAAATGATGCTCCGCAGCAGGAGCGTAATAACCGGCTTTACTATTTAAACATGCTGGCTATGCACGGCTTGCTACCTGGCCATGTACTACCTACACGGTATGGTAATTGTCTGGATCACTTTATGCTGAGACTAGACAAAAATAAACATTCCGCAAATATAAATGTAATAAATACTTCTGTCACTGATCACTCCACCATATTCTTAAGGCTCTCCAATATACCAAAGTCAGATGCTTCCACTAAGACAAAAACATTCATTGATTACGATAAGGCGATAGCTACTCTAAGAGATAGCACATTGGTGGCTGACTTAACTTCATTAAACAACCCCAACATGATTATAGAGCTCTTACTAAGTAAAATAAGACAAACCTTAGATTTACATACAGTCACTAAGATCATTACATGCAAATATCGTGTAGTTAAGCCATGGATGACTTTGGGCATTCTACGATGTGTCAGAAATAGGAATAACATGCAGAAAAAGCTAAAATTAGACCCTGATAATGAAATTTTAAAAATAACTTACCGTAGATATCGAAATTATTGTAATAAATTAATCAGAAACCTAAAAAGAAATTATAATAAACAGCAACTAATTCTAAATAAAAACAACTCAAAAAAATTATGGCAAACTGTCAACAATATTACAAATCGGAATAAAAATAAAAGCGACAATTACGAACTGCTCCACTGTAAAGAAACAGCACAAGAGTCTATAGATCATTGTAATCAATATTTTACCCAAGTTGGCAAATCACTAGCAGAAGGTATCCTTGCACAACAACCCGCATACAATTGTTCTGACAAAACTACTTCGAATTATCCTCACTTAACTTCATTTGTATTAAGAGATACTGACAATGATGAGGTTCTTAATGTCCTGATGGGGTTAAAATCAAATAGTGCTCCAGGCTGGGATGGCATTCCTACCCAATTCTTAAAGCTAACTGCTGATATAATTGTCCCTATTATTGTTCATTTGATCAATCTATGCTTTGCTCTAGGTGTCTTTCCAGATGCACTGAAAATCGCTGTAGTTACCCCAGTGTACAAAGGAGATGATAAAACGGATATAAGCAATTACAGGCCTATTTCTGTTTTACCACCTATTGCCAAAATACTGGAGAAAATAATTAATAAACGTTTAATGAACTACCTTAATACATTTAATATCCTCTCCCCAAGTCAATATGGCTTTAGACGGGATTTATCGACAGAAGATGCCGTGTTGGATCTCACATCGCTTATTACTAATGCTGTGGATAAAAACAAAAAATGTGCTGCAGTGTTTTTGGATATGAAAAAGGCATTTGACTCAGTATCAATTACAGACCTTATCGACAAGTTGGAGAAAATAGGCATAAGAGGAATTCCCTTGAAATTATTCAAAGACTATTTATGCAATCGAAAACAGAGTGTAAAAATAGGAAAACACCAAAGTGAACAATGTGAAATCACCATCGGAGTTCCGCAAGGAAGTGTATTGGGGCCCACTCTATTCCTTGTATATATTAATAATTTATGTAACATGGATATAGAAGAGGGAACAATGTTCACTTATGCTGACGACACTGCTGTCGTTTTTGTAGCTGACACCTGGGAGGCTGTTAAAAATAATTCCCAAAAGGGCCTTGCAAGAATAGCTAAGTGGCTCAGCGATAACCTTTTGACCCTCAATACCTCTAAAACTAACTATGTATGCTTCTCCAATTATAACTCCTCTCAACCACCTCCGACGTTTGCTATTCAAATACATACTTGTGGCTCACCTCATTCTATAATATGCTCATGCGATTTTATTAAGCGGCAAAACTGCGTAAGATACCTGGGTACTATGGTAGACCAACGCCTATCATGGCGCGATCATATAGAGCTAGTTATGGCTAGAGTAAGAAAACTCATATGGTTATTTAAAAATCTAAGACACGTAGCTGACTCGGCCCTCCTAAAACAAATTTATACTGCTCTTGCGCAGTCAATATTAATATACTGCATTCCGGCCTGGGGTGGTGCCATTAAAACAAAATTCCTGGAACTGGAGAGAGCACAAAGGTCACTACTCAAAGTTATCCATTTTAAGCCATACAGATTCCCTACGGAAATGTTATATGCGGTTAGCGATCTTCTGTCAGTACGTAAGTTGTATGTACTGCAAACTACTCTTAGAACCCATCGACATATTGGATATGATCCTAGTATTTTGAACAGACGTAGAAGGCATAATGTGGCACCTTTACCAACTTTTAAAACTAAATATGCTCATAGACAGTACTGCTACCAGTCTGCTAACTTATATAATAAATTAAACAAGGAATTAAATCTATATAATATGAATAAATATAAATGTAAAATAACTATAAATTGTTGGTTAAAAACTCTAACCTATGAAGAAGTTGAATCTATTATCTAAGAATTACTATTCTAAAGTCTACTTTTATCTTACACTCTAAAAGAACACACACACTCAAACATATGATACAGACATATACACACATACCTCATACACACTCACTCACACACACTTACACTCTCACACATCAACATACACTTAACTGAATACAACGAACACCCCTCAATTTATCACTCATACACGATGCATCTTTTAACTTGTATAAATATTGTTTTGTTTTTGTAATATTATTCCCTTTTGTCTAAACTTACATACCTAATTAAGTGTACCTAGGAAGAGCGGATACTCCAAACACAAGTATATTATACATACTTAAATGGAGGCTCCAGCCACATGTTGTTACCATTGTAAGTGATTGAATAAATATTTTTTCATTTTTCATTTTTCATTTTCAATTCCATTTTCTCAACGACTAAACAAGTTTAACAAAACTTTGTGACTAGACCGAGAATCTTTTTTAAAAAAAAAAGTATTCAATTTTTAAAACCAAGGAGTTTTTAATTAAAAAGATTTAAATATGACAGGAACAGTGGTATTATTCCATTCCCGATACTTTTAGTGCAGCCCTCGTAGACCCGAGTCTTACCGAGCGACGCATTTACGGAGTTTGGCGTAAACACATAGGATTATTAAGTATGTTAATAATAAGGAGTAATTATAATGTACTTATTAAATTTAATAATAATAGGTATCTAGTAATAACAATTAGTTAGTAATCATAGTAAGAAGTTTGGTGTTTCTTATAAATTATAATATTCAGTTTGATGCATCTTTTTGGATAGTAAACGCAAGTTCTTCATAAGTTATATTTGACTGGGTTTGATCTGGAACGGCGTTATCTTCAGATTGAGGAACAATAACGTCATAAAAAGTATTTACCTCTGACTGAGGTTGATTAGGCGTAGTATCATCTATAGAACCATTTTGAGGAGGTGGTAGATAAGTCTGAATATTGACTTTGTTAAGTACCAGCTCCACCTCTGCTATTAGTATGAGGACTCTGTGTAGATGAAGCTCGAGTTCTGTACATTGTCACATCACATTCAAACAGTATTTGCATGATTTTTAATTCAGCCTGCGAACGCGTGTAATCGTCATATTTTCTCATTTTGTTGGCAACATGCTTCATTTTTCTCCTTGACTCCTTTTCCATCCTCTCGCATTCGTGTTTCGTTAGGAACTGAAGTGAGGCGGGGCGAACAGACTGTACGAGACTGTACAAAATGGCGTCCACGCTGCTGTTTGCGGTGGTCTCGCGCGCGCCCATCCCGCCCCGCAGCCGCTCTCAAACCGCTAGCATGATAAGGCCCTGAAAGAGCTACAGTTCAAGGAATCAAATAATATGTTGATTATATAAGAAAGAACGGGATAAGTTCTCGGTATGCCTGCGGTAGTACTCCTCGGGCCGCCCAATCTTCCGTCGCAACAGCTAAGCTGTGACTGAAAATTTGCGCCGCAGTTTTCACGCACACATTTTTTATTGTTCCTATATCAACATGTTCCTTCGTTAATTTCTCCAGGCAATCGGTGTTCGAAACGATTTCTCGGCAGTATACAGTAGTTCAATGTATTTCCATTTAATGAGTTTCTGTTTTTGGTATTCGGGGTCAATATAAACCTAGTCTTTGGTAAGAAGGTTATTCCTCAGTCATTTGAATAAATATGGCACATCACAAATGGGGGAAAAAATTTAATGTTCACTTCAAAGAAGATAGTTAATCTTTTCACTTTGGAATAATTTAGACAGTGAAAATTCAATTTTTATCGACGATATATTGGTTCCTAAACCATTCAAGGGTTAAGTATATCAATTAATATTTCAATTACTTACCATTCAAATGAAGAGATGGCATGACTAAAGAATTTAATCGGTTATTACGATTAGGATCTCTCTCGGTAAAAATGAACCAAATTCACCAGTAAGGTCAACCCAAGCATTCGATTGCTGACGGAATCTTTTAGGGTTTGGAAATGAATGAAAGCTGCCATCTGAAAAATAAGATAAAACATGCATGTTAATAACTATACGTAGTCTTTCCATAAATAGCGCATTTAAGATATTATATTTATATGATTTGTGTAAGGATTTATATCCCGGATTTCAGCGCACCGGTGTTAATCGTCTACTACTTATTATCTACGTAGTAGTTTCGCTCTATAAAGTTATCTAGAGCATTTGTTCGTACTCCAGCTGATGCATGGGATGTAAACATGCTCTCTCTAAGCTGGTTATAGTCTGCGTGTACGACAGGTCCAAAAAGTCCCTCCATTGCAAAATTATGGTTAAGGCTGGCATTCCAACCTCCTGGACCCTGTCCCGCTGGCGTAGTGCAACAAAACCCTCTAGCTATATGTGCACCTCTATTAATACGTCGACGGTGAAAACATTCTATATTGGCTTGGTTTGAAGTTGCAGAACCCTGGGCACCAAAGCTGTGGATTGCCACATTTCTTGTATACAACGGAATTAAAGCATCGTTGATAGGCCCGGTTGTCTCTACGAAAGTTAGATTAACAGCAGTGATCTTATACTGAACCTTCTCCATCAGATTAAGCCCCTTCTCGTTTTGTACTCTGCGGTATTCCTTCATCTTAAACCGATCTTTCATCTCGGCAAGTACAACGTATACTGGATTCTGGACTGTTTCTGATATTCGGTATCTTCCTTCAATGGAATCGTCATTAGGAAATTGGATTCCTTGATACCTTGTTTCAGGAGCTGGTACGTCTACTGGTTCGAATCCAAGTAGATTTCTGTTTGGTATTAAATTTCCAGGAATTAACCCATCTGGTAAAGGTAGGTAATCGGCATTTCTCTGCATCCAAGCTATCACACGGTTAGATGATTCCAAAGGTGATATGTAGCATTCGTAGACATTATGGTTCTGTGCAACTAAAACACCAAATGAACCACTTGGATGCCGTACTCCATCTACCTCAATTGGGCCTTGAGGAATAGCTATTTGTGGCAGATTCAACCGAACTTCTTTCCCATCTTGTGTCATGACTGACGCTATATGTGAAATGTAGTCAACAATAGGCTGTGGGATTACCTGATAGTCTGGTAAAGCCTCACGAGCACCTGTCCTCAGGTTTAATACATTTTGGCCGGATTGCCGTGCCGTCTCTAGTATTTCTAGATTCAAATGTGCCGACATCGTGTGAGTAAACATACTGAGAGGTAACCTCTCATGCAGACGGGGATCTACTCCTCTTAATTTTTCATACGTCTGGTTTACTATGGGGATAAACCCCGAATACTCGAAGTTCTGGCAGTACACGTCCTGTGTAGCGAGCAACGATGAATGTGGTCCCATGTCATATAGGGGCTCATCGCGCATTGGAGTCGCTGATGTGCTAGGCGTTACTGTCTGTTCTTCGGTTTGAGCTCTTGGTTGTTTGTTGCTCTTATACGTCTGCGACCTTTTTGTCGGCGCCTTATTCTTTACCCTGTCATAATCAAAGGGCTCAGGCTCGTACGCCCAGTTAACAAAACGCTGTTGGTCAGCGTTATGGTTATACGCACGTTGGGCGTCACGCAAAGGTCGGCGGTTACCGCCGGAATTTTGGCTTCTGCCACGTGGTTGTCCACGATTTGAATTATTCATCTCGTTAGAGGAAAAATTGTCTTAAAACGACTGAAACAAAGAAAAAAAATTGTATTCTATTGCAAACATTTATTACTTTTACAGTGTGTTAGTTTAATACATTAATATAAAACAATTTAAAATATAAAAAGCTTATTCGAAGTGGTCTCCATTGGCTGCAATACAGTCCTTGAAACGTTGAGGCCAGTTATCAATAGTAGCACGCACTCTTTCCATGGAAAAATTCTTCACTGCCAATCGTCCGGATTGTTTTAGGGACTCCAAATTATCATGGCGTTTAGAGCAAGCCGTACTCTCTAAGACCATTAATCATAATCCAGCGGATTAAGATCGGGACTACGGCCAGTATTCAGCTGTAATGAAGTCCAAAACGTTCGTTTCCAACCAAGACTGTGTAGACCGAGATTTATGACCCGGCGCCGAGTCTTCTTGATTATTGAACATGGTGTTGTTAAGGGGCTGCACTACCTCTTCAAGAATTGTATCTTGATACACTAGTGCGGATGTTTTGATACTTTTTCACAAAAGTATGGCTCAGTCACTTCTTCGTAGCTAATACCCCACCAAACCATCACTGAAGTCGGATAGTGCCCACGTTGCACTCTGTCTACTAATTGGGAAGCTTTCTAAGAGCTTTGAGCATGAATACGGTCATTTTGTTTATTAACATGTTCTATGCCGAGGAAAAAATCGCAGTTTCCTGTCCGGGCCTGGCGGTCAGTGATGGTTGACATATAGACTTTCAGTTCAAGTCGCGTCAGTCAGTGATTATTTGTTTGTTTATTTGATCAACGGTATTCATACTTATTAAACAATATTCAAACAATTACACTGTACACAATAGCCAAAACGGTATACACATTTAAACATACACAAAGCACAATTTCACCTATACAAATACAAAAAATACAAAAATATAGAAAGAATATATGTATTTATAATAAATTAAATAAATGATGACCGCATTTTACGAGAGTTTTCATTTCGTTCTCACAGGCCGTTGGGCAGTGCTCTCAAACTAAATCGCATGTTAATTGACCCGCGTGGCCCACTAGTTTCTCCACATCAAGTTGGTTTTTGAAAAATTTAAGAACTTGGAAAGAAAAACAACAATTACCATACAAATAAATTTATTGAAAAAACCACAAAAAAATTAAAACGTTTGCTTTTTCTAAAAATTTAAACACAATGAAAATGAAAACTTTCTTTAACATTTTAGCAGAAAAAACGATACCAAATAGCCTTATAAAAAGGAACAGTAATGAAAAATGCTTATAAAATTATATATGAACGTTGGCAAAACACATAAAAATGGTTTGTCTGGGCAAGCATTACAGAAAGTAGGTACTTTTTTGGTCTTGTTTCTGGCTATTACTAATTGATACTAATTGAAATTAATACCAACGCACCTTCAAAGAAGGTCCTGCTTTTTTCTTAAGATCGTGCTTTCTTCTTGTCTAGTGTAATCTACTATAGGTATGGACTTATTTGTCACGCTTTTGTACAAAACGAAAGCGTTTACCATTGCTACATAAAAAAATGAGATCAAATGCCAGTTTTTTATGCCATTTTAGGGACTTTCTTGATGGAGTTTGATATGCTGCCATTTGATCAGCTAAATCCGCTGCTCCTTTTGCCTTGTTATAATCTACAACAATAGCTGGTTTCATCGTGGTTTTATTATTTTTGGTAACGGAAACAAAACGTGTTGAATGTTTTGTGGAAAGTACTAACACATGTCGTTTATCTTTCCATCGTAAAACAGTTATCCCATCCTCACATTCCTTCGCTATAAACTGGCCTTTTTTCAGCTTCGTAGAAACGACAACCTTAAAAAAATGCTTCCTATTTTTTCGTAAAGTTCCAATTAGATGTGTTTCATTTTCCAGGAGCTCTCTGCCTAAGGGTACACTTGTGTACCAGTTATCTGTGTATAACGAATATGCTTTATTTAGTTAGTCCTGGGGGTCTAGCCAAGATGGCTTAACAGTAGTGTATGTAGAAAGTCGAAAACTAAATTTGTATGAAAATGACAGCTCGTGTCGACAGTCGGTAGCCTAGGCCCTAAAGGCGTGAGTTGGGATACAATAAGCGACGCCATGACAGTGCTACGAAAAGACACACATTAACGCTTACGCTATTCGGTAGCCAACGGCCAATCAATGTTTCGGCAGTGTAGAAAAAACGGCGTTTCTCCGCCATGTTTTAGCGTGATCTCAAAAGCTGCTGTTTGCAATAATTCAGTACAACTATTGCCATCTTTAATGGCTACCGTTTTAAAAACATGTCATATTTTGGACGTTATAACGAAATGGTTTTAATTTGTTATCTGTCTTTTTTACGTTCTCGTGTAATTATAATAATTTAAACTAGAGTTAATATTTTTAAGTTAAAAGTTTTAGCTTTTCTATAAATCAATGCGAGGATAACATAATAGACACAGATAAATATGAAAATATCAAGAAAATCAGCAAATTAGTAGAGGTAAATCCTAGTTATATTGGATATCTTTTATTGATATTTATATTGCATGTAAGTTCATGAAATTGTTCTTTAATTTGAAAAATACATATACCATTTAATATTGCATATAATATTATGTAATCACAAAGTAAAATGATTGTACATTTTATTTGTATATTTCAGATGAGAAAGCAGTCACTAATGAACATAATTAGAAGTTCTAAATATATTTTATTGTAATTATAATAGAAGCTGATAATGATATAATATTGATTTAAATTAATCAAATAAAGTGGATTTATACTTTATGAACTTTGGAAATATAAAATCTAGTGAGCAATACTAAGTAATGGTAAGCAGATATTTTCTTTAATTATTTACTAAGTCAATATACTAGAGAAGTTATTATAATATTGTTAATGAATGAGAAGTTTGATTTCAAGTCCCTTGGGAGTTACTGACATTGTTTGGTTATTAAAAACTTTAATTGACAATAAGCAGCAAAGTGACAAATTAAGTATATTTTTAAGTTTAGAATTAAGTAAAGAGTTTTAATATTAAAGTTACCTATTGAACAAACCTTGGACCGATCTTAGTTTAGTTTGTCAGTTTTCTATTTGATCAAAGTACTAACTAAAATATTTTCTTTTCAGAAAAAGAGAAGCTAATAAGACAACTAAAAATATTTAAATAAACCACAAATGGACAAGATTTATTAAAGTCTTATCTTTTAATTAATTTAAGTGTTATATTATGTACCTGAAAATGAATTTGATAATGGGGAATGAAGCATTTTATGAATAATGTAAAAAATAAGACAAGTAGATTATGAAATAATGGTTGGTTAAGTAACATTACCTCATGAACAGGAAACAGGAACTGAAACTATGTTCTTCCACATTTAATCTTAATAAGTTCAGCAGTTTGAATGTTAATGAGATATTATTATAAACAAACTGGATTTGTAGATTTTGGGAAGAATTATATCTTTAAAATAACTATTATTATTTACAATTGTTGTGTTAAGGAAACAATCACTGTTTTTTTAATCGCCCAGGATGTATTCATAGTAACTGTAGGTATCATAGTAATTTTATGAAATCATCACAACATCTAACGTTAGGTTTTATGAATTGAACTATTTTTTGTATATTGCACACAAACAAGATATTGACTTTGCTGCAAATTAACACTTACATTTATTTATTAGTTAATTATCTACATATATAAATATGAATAATTGAATACATCTACATTAGGTAGTTATGCATTGAATTTGGTACACCTGTGTGTGTTCAGTAGTAATGTAATGTTTGTATTGTTTAATAAGTTGTTACATATGCTTATTTTTCTATGTAGACTGCATTATGTTAAGGAAGATATTTGGTGCCTTATTTTAATAAAAAATAACCATAACTGAAACATTTTTATTTTGCTACCTATTTGTTTAATATTCCTAACTATTAGTAGGTACGGGTCATTCATATATGCATTATCTGTATATTCTTGTAAAATAAACTAATATTGTTAACCACTTTAATGGCTTTTCCTACTAAAGAAGACATAGGTAAATTACCAAAAATAAAACTGACAAATACATAACATACAATGTTTATTCACTTCTCATTTATACAGATTTTGCATTTACATATTAACTAGTAGCAAATCACTGATATAACCAAAAGTTAATTGACATAAATATTAACTTAAAATCAGTATAAATTTATTATAAACAATCAATCTTTATGACTCTAACTTAAACTAAAATTGTTTGTTGGACATAAACAGAGATAATTCCAACTAGTAGCAAATCAATAATAAAATCTACACATATTTAAATCTGCTTTCAAATTGACATTAAAAATGTTCAAGCACAAACACCAAACCTAATTAAAGCTTAAATCAAACTCTAATTTCAGTGTTCACACTAGTTTACGTTTTTTTTCTATTGTTTTTTAATTTCTTGGACTATCCTTCTATTTCTTATCAACTTCTAGTCAACCTTATTTTCACTCTTTATTTATCAATCCACAGTACTATTTCTATTGTTTCTTCTAAGCGGTAACAAAATATGTTGCTTCTTCATTTTGCAGATTAGTTGTGAATCAAGTCAAATCCTAAAAATATCAAAGTATGAGTACTACTTATTATTATATATCGCGATTATGCAATTTCAAAATATTGTATTTATTTGTAGCCTTAAATTTCAGAGAAAACATGAAACAAACCATAAGTAATTTAAACATGCAATTAAAATTCATATATTCACTTTACACCTTCCGTAAATTCCACTTAAATCGAAAATTGTTACGACCTTGCTGACATTCTAATGTCCCTTTTGCAGCTTCCAATAATTGGAATTTGCAATTATTGCAAATTAACAATAATATTGTAGTTTTAACTTTTATTTGTTTATAAAAGTGACATTAGGAATACATTTAATCCAGAGACAATATGACGGAATAAGGTGCTACGAACAGCAGCTCGCATCTACGCTGTCGACTTTGCGGTAATGTATCGACATGCCTCTTGGCTACGAACGAAGCGTTTTCGACAGTACAATTACGCAAAAGCGGTAGTGTATGTAGAATACTTTTCGACACCAATATGGCTAGACCCCCTGGCAAAGGTTCATTACCAGGTTTTGTTTACCAGCATATATATTTATTTAAATGTATAACCATTATATTAGAGCGACTCATGGCCATGTGTATTACCTTTTCAGAATCAAAACTTGTAATACAGGGTCACTTTTCGGTAGAGTAATTTTTTTTCACAGTGGGGGCCGAAGTAAACAAAAAGTTATGATTTGAACATTTTTTATATCGTATAACTGAATATTATCTTCAATACACTCAATAAACAACTTTAAATATTAGGTTGGGGAAAAAGTCTTTTCGCATTATACTATGTATGAACTTGTAATGAAATCTCTTTGGCTATACTATATGTATTTGCCTGTTTTAGTTATCATTGAAAGTTGAGATTTAAAAGAAGATAATTCCAAATTCATATTAGGATAATGTGTGATTTTTATTTATTTTTCGTACCGTCAAGATAAGTGAATCTAATGAAGAAATTCGATACATTTTAAAATTTTACTACAAAAAAGGTAAAAATGCAACGCAAGCCGCAAAATTTTTTTGCGATGTTTATGGACCTAGTGCAGTGTCTGTAAGAGTAGCACAATTTTTTTTTACCATCGATTCTGAACTCTACTGCGAAACACTGATGAGATTAAAGCAAGGAGTTGAGAGAAAGCGGCCGGAATTATTCAACAGAAGGGGTGTGGTTTTTCATCAAGATAACGCTAGACCTCACACATCTTTAGCCACTCAGCTAAAATTAAGAGACCTTGGCTGGGAGGTGTTAATGCATCGGATGTATAGACCTGACCTTGCACCTTCAGATTTCCACCTGTTTCGATCTATTCTGAATTCTTTAGGCAGTGTCAGGTTAACATCACGAGAGGACTGCCAAAACCAATTGTCGCGGTATTTTGATCAGAAGCCCCAGAATTTCTATAGCAATGGAATCATATCCCTACTTACAAGATGGCAAAAAGTTATCAAACAAAATGATACCTACATACTTTAGTTAAATGTAAATAAACTATATTCAAAAATGTTGTGAATTTTCTTGAAAAATGCGAATAAACTTTTTCCCCAACCTATTAGTATGTCTAACGCAAGAACTCATCAGTACCAATCTAGTGGATATTATTAAAAAGATACAGGATGTAGATTTTTTCGAATTTTAATAAGAATTAGTTACTAATTCTTATAAAACGCAAAATAAATTATAACCCTGCAGGGGTTGAGCTTAGAGACCTCCCGTAGAACAATTTTTTGCAGCTGATGACCTTTTCTATCCCCTATTTGCATTTGATCCACGTCTTTTTGGCCACCCTGTATAGATATCTGACTTGTTTATTTTTAGGATACAAGACTTGAATTGTTAGTATGAGGGTAATTTTTTCCTATACTCTTTTACCATCAAAAGCAAATATTGCTTTTGTTCTTCATTTTTGTAATTAATTTACTATACCATTACTCAGCTATGTCGTTCACTACTCACAATGCATGAACGATATTTTTGGCAGCTATATAGCGTCTTCTTAAACAAATAAGCAACTCGCCTTGGTGCATAAGAAACGCCGAAGTACATGAACACCTGGGCATACCTACAGTCAAAGAGGTAATAAAAGTATACGCTCAGAAGTACAAGACTAGGCTGGAAAATCATCCTAACCATCTAGCTGTTCAAGTCACCCTACCGGAGTATAAGTAAACCGACTCATAAGACGAAGAACCCTGGAGCTCAGCAGCATTGACTGAGCTAATATTATTATGGTAGATATTCCTAATGAGGAATATCTCCTCCCGCAAATCATCCTACAACTCATCTGCTCATAGTCAGAAGACTGATTGCTGTCTACTGTCTCCTTTCCTGTGTTGTTTTCATTACATTAACCATTTCTTTTACACCAGATCTTTTCTTATAAAACAAAACAATGTAATTACTTTTATATTAATTTTTAAAACTTTATATCAGACTTTAATAAAAGATACCTAACTTAGTACTTTAGTATCACAATCATATTCTTAGAATCAAAGAATTCAAGTCAAAACAAAAATAAAACTTCTGCAAGCAAAATAGAAATAAAACCGATTAACAAACAAATTATTCATACTGAGCCGGTGAAATATAGTTCAGTATTTTGTTTAATCACAGTCACAGCAATAAAAAATATCTTTATCTTCGGTTGAGAGTCCGACACACTCTTTGTACCATTTAAAACATTGTACACATTGCCGCATGTCTGAAACACGTCCTTCTTTGCAAGCATGGCAGAACCATTCAGATTCTATTATTTTTGAATTCTTAGCCTTTCTGCTATCTTTTCCAGACTTATTCTTACCATATAATAATAGTTTCTTAGGCTAGGCAGTAGGAACACAAAGGAAACTTCTTCACTTCTTAAATATATATATATTACAATTTACACAGAAGAAACAAAGTTAATAAACGGTAAGAGTTGTAAGCACAATTAGAGAAGAGAAAGCGTTTAGGCAAGAATTAATTAATTAAAAGCTAATAAGAGAGAATTCGTAATTCGCGCGCACAGGTTTCGCGTTTGATAGTTCTAATCGCACTGGCCGCTGGTCGCGCTGCCACTGCCTGCAGGCTCTACCCACCGCGCCTGTGTCGTCACACATAGCGGTAAAATCACCGACGCGGTGGAAAAGAGGAGTGGTATTATTGTTCGCCACACATGTATGTCATAGCTCCTTGATCCCATTGATACTCAAAAGACTTATTGACGGATTTATCGAGGGGTTGATGTTCATGGGTTGTGTTACTAGGCAAACAATAAAGCACTATATCCGTATTAATTTGGACTATCTCGGGTTTATAGACGAGGCTTCTGTCTGAAAATTTTCAGTTTCAGTTTCCTGTGAATTATGACGAAGTAGACCAATATACACTTACAAGTTCACATAAAATGGGTTCATTTGAGCAACATTTATTCTCCATTGAAACATCATCACAACACAAGATATCATCATTAGTAAACTGTTGACAAGGTATATTCTCTTTACCCTCTTCCACAAAGATATCCTACAAAAAGAAAGCATTGCATGTTAAAAACTTTGGTAACTTCACAAAGCATCCAAAAGCAAGGAACACAGAATCCAATTGATAATCACAAACTTACTTTATTGATAGACGAGATCTCCGTTGGAGCTGGGCAACTGTCGCCTATAACCCCTGAGGTTGAAGGCTGGTCAAATAAATCATTACAGGCGTTTCTAAAAGATTGATTGTTCTGTAAGAACAGGAAAGTAGTTAAATTTTTAACAATCTTTCTACAATATTATGGTATTAAAGGACCATCAAAAACCTTACCTGGCTTTCTACAACATTCTTTTCTTCGTTTTTGTCAAGCACAGATTGCACAAGGAATAAACTCCTTGCCGATATCTTTCTATCCATTGTTTACAATGAACTCATCGCAAGTTTAACTACTAAAGTAAAATATATACCACCAACAAAAGCAGAAAACCTAAAGTAAATAGCAAACAAAATTTAACCGCTATTTTTTGACTCATAAATCAGTGACACGACATAACTGACGTTTATTTTTTCATTAGATGTTCAGCACAACGATTCATTACTAGAAATGTTGCCTATTAAAACTTCGTAAGATCATTCGTGATTTTTGCATTTTCCATAATATTTGACGATGAAAAAGAAAAAATCATTACTTTGTTAACCAGTGTTACCATTAAAATTATTTTTGAAAATAGTACTTGATGATATTTTTAGCCCTAGATTACCGTTTAAATTTGCCATTAGCACTTAACCATTTTTACCTTTATATAGAAGGTGGCTTTTGGTACATAATGAACAAAAAAAGCAATATTCGTCCAAAATGTCACTTGATGACTTTTACCTTTACACCCACGATATAAAAAAGCCTTCATTGCTCCCAAGCATAGTTTTCCAAAAAATTTCGAATAAGTTTTTCCTTTTGTCTTTATCTATGTTATTACAATTCCTTAGTTTTGACTCTTGCAAAATGTTGAATCACAGGCCGGTTTTATGGATCTGGCTGGCAAAAAGACATCATGGTGTATTTCGCTTTTTTATTGTTTTCTTTTGATGTCTATATCCTAGGTCTTCCTCTCCCTTCATTTTTAAATCTCGATTAACAATTCTTTTCCATTTCCTTGTATCTTTATGTTAGTGTTCCTCCTTTTCTTATTTGTTGCTAGATCTCCATGATATCCAGGTTCAATGTCGTTATTATTATTTCTTATGTGGTTTTCTGAAAGAGATAGGGTTGAAGTTGTATGCTCGTTTGCAGGAACTATAATATTGCTCTTATCCACTAAAATTAAATTCTCGTTCTACATCAGAGGGGCCAGTCCCTTACAAAAATTGTTTTTTAAAAACGACAAACGATCTTATCAGGTGCGACGTGGCACAGCCACATTACTATGGCGTTATGATGACTTGTGCGGTGTTAGTGCAGTCAATTAGTTGTGTTGTGTTACTAGTTTTTGAATAACGCGCTGATATTACCTCTAGCGAGCTTATTAGACGCGCGGGAAAGTAATCTATCGAATGGTGTATAAAACGTCACTTGGCTAAAATGTGACTTGGCCGGTATTTGTTAGCTAAGCGACGATATGTGTTCCATACTTTCCTACTGTGTACATTGTAAATAAAAAATTTCACTTGTCGTGGTATTGGCGGATCCATCTCAGGATATTTTTCTCGTGTGTTAGTTAGGCACAAACTGGCGCGGACAACTGAAACGTAAAACCGTCACGGCGGTCGACGTCAGACTGAGTAAGTGAGTAAGATTGACATTTGTTTTGCAATGGCACTCAATGAATATGTTACAAACGTCAACACAACGATTGTAAATAATAAAAGTTATTGTAAAGATATAATTCTTCCCAAAATCTACAAATACATTTTGTTTGTAATACATATCTCATTCACATCAAAACTGCTGCACTCATTAATAATTAACATGGAAGAATATAGTTTGAGTTACTGTTTCCTGTTCTTGAAGTAATGTTACTTAACCAAACATTATTTTTTACTACACTCCTCTTATCTTTTACGTTATTCTTACAATACTGATGTCACTCAAATATAGAACTTATATATATATAATCATATACTTCATCCCTCATTATCAAATCATTTTCATGTACCATAATAAATACAAATAAAAAGCCTTTTATTTCTTGCTAAAAGGTATACAAAATAACATAGGTTTACTAAAAAGAAAAAAAGAGAAATTAAAATAAAAAGTTAAAAATTTACATTAGTGTGCATGATTAGATAGGAACTTTATTAATTTCTTTTCTTCAGGTGCTTTTATACCTATTTATGGGTGCAAGAACCCCTCTTAGCGGAGGGTAAAGGCCTCCTCCAAAGATGACCATTTTTCCCTGTCTTCGGTTACTCGCTTCTAGTGCGTGCCGGCTATCTTTATAACGTCGTCTGCCCAGCGTGCATTTGGCCTGCTTCTTTTTCTATGGCCCGATGGTCCTGGCCATAACGTTGTAGTTTTGGTCCAGCTATTATCACTATATCTGGCTAGGTGTCCAGCCCACCGCCATTTTAGCTTCTGTAAGTAACTAAGTGCGTCGATAACTTAAGTTTTCTGTTTTATAACGGTATGGCGGATTTTTTGTATCTTTTTTATTTTCAGGATGCTTCTCTCCATACTTCTTTGACTGGTTATGATCTTATATGGTTATAAAGCCTACTCCATATTATAATCCTGGCGTTTCGCCGATGTAGTACAAAATGAATTCCTCGTGTTCCTCTATTTTGTTACCGAGTTTTCTAACTTATGAGAGACCAATAATATCGTACTTTATGTTTCTTAAGGATTCTGTTAGTTCCAATAGACGTGAATAAGTAGAAAGAGTTTTAGCATTGTAAGTCGCTATGTATAAAGTGTTGTAGTAATTGTTGTTTATGGTATTTGAAAAGAGCTTCGTTTCCTTTGGAGGGTTATGGTCTTGATCTTCCACGGTGACCAACCGGCTTGGAAGATGTTGTTTGGTACTGTTCGTTTCTAAAATGTTTTCCGTGAGAGAGGGCGGTAATTGCTATTGTTTATTATTTACATTTGTTTGATTGTTTGGTTGAATGTTGTGGTTTTTGGTAGTTAAGAATCCGAGTATTTCTGGTTTAATAACTCCCTCTGATAGGCTCGACAATCTTTGTAAACCTGATTGGGTTTGAGTTTTGCTCTTTTTATGTGCTTGTTGTTTTGGCTCTGAATGCGGAAGATCCCTGTAGTTTGGTGATGTTGATAGAGTTATTTTCTTGTTGCCTATTGTTGTTTCATTTTTCGAGTGTATTTTCAGTTTATCGTACTTAATAACAAACAAAACAAACAAAACAAAAATTTTCTTTATTAAGTAAATAGTCTTAAATCTATATTTTAGTACATCCCTTTTAGGTTCAAGAACCTGTGTTAGGGATGAACGCTCTTTCCTATATGTTAATACTTAATCTACTTAACAAAGCAAAACAGTAAAGGTACTTAAATAGTTAATTAATTATATTACATACTTGAAAAACCAAACTACTGGCGATTGTTGATATTAAATCGTAATAACTAAACAAGTGAGGTAGATTGAAATCAATCACACCATCGTCTTTCTTTTAATTATGTGAGTGAGTCCGTATGTCGTGACCAGTGCAGGTTAGTACAGCGTAGCATGTCTCTTATCAGCCGGATGATGCGACCACATAAAGTATAGAGTACTTTAAATAATTATAATATTTTTATGCGGGAAGTAACCTAACTGAATCGAATGGCTACGATATTATAATACTACAAGACCGAATTAATATTGAACAATATACATAATAAAATAAGGTATGAACAATATACACAATAATATGTAAGAACGAATAATTAGCACACGCTTTTTTTTTTTTAAATCATCTTGTAATTTGGATTGATTTTTGATATATATCTATTTATTCAACTTCTACAAATAAGTTTTTTGATAATTTAATGTTTTTAGCCACGTGGTTACTGTTTTTTTACACTCTTTAAACGTCTTAGGGTATATATTTAGGGTTTTGTTTATTTTGTTGTACATTCTTGTAGATTGGGTCGCAAATTGTTTTGAGGCAAAAGTGGTACACACAGTTTGAGATTTTATTATATATGAGCGATTTCTTTTGCTTAATATAGATATGTCAAACGGGGTATTTTTGTGGACTTTAAGTATGCATTGAAGTATGTATAGTTGCCTAACTGTTAGGAGATCTGAATCTTTATAGAGTTTTTCTGTGGAATATAGTTTACTCTTGCTAAGCATTATTTTCAAGATACTTCTCTGCGCACGTTCAATGCTCACAAATTTTGATTTAAATGTGCCGCCCCATATACTTATACAATATAGAAGAACGGACTGTACTAAGGTTTTGTAGATATACATAATAAGCTGTAAATCACAAATGTTACGAAGGCGTTTAAAAATCCAGATCAGCTTCCTAGCACGTTTAGCTACTACATCGATTTGAGGGTACCAGTTTAAATTTCTATCTATAATAACTCCTAGATATTTTGTGGTTTTAACTCTCTCGATCTCGGGACAAGTGCAATCTTGAGGTACATCGCATACATGAGCCTTTATTTTTAAATCAATATTTGGTTGCAACGAATTTCGTATAGAAAACGGGACATAATTTGTTTTACTTAAATTGAGTGACAGCAAGTTAATTCTTAGCCATTGGATAACAGTGTTCAATCCCAATTCAGCGCAACTGTAAGTTTCAGCCCAGTTTTTTCCGTAAAGAGCAAGGCAGTGTCGTCGGCATAGCAAAATACTTGTCCATTGAAAAGATGGAGATTTGTAAGGTCGTTTATGTAAACTAAAAATAATGTTGGGCCGAGGACACTGCCCTGTGGAATGCCAAAATTTGTAGTGAACTCGTCAGAGCTGAGGACATCATCACAAATTCTAACTCGTTGGGTACGGTTTTGAAGATAGTCGGTAAGAAGTTTTAGGAATGAATCTCGGATACCTATTATTTCCAACTTTCGTAACAAGATAGGTACAGAAACAGTATCAAAGGCCTTTTTAAGATCCAAGAAGATACATAATGCCTTTTGTTTACTGTCGATCGTTTTTGTAATTTTACCAGTTAGATCTCGAATAGCGTCCTCAGCACTAATATTCCCACGAAAACCATACTGTGATTCGGACAATATGCCATAGTTGTTAAGATAGTTAAGTAAACGGTTATTTATAAGTTTTTAAAGGATTTTGGAAATTACTGGAAGGACTGAAATGGGTCGATAGTTATTTATATCTTCTTTATTACCACCTTTATGCACCGGGTGTATTATTGAGCATTTCAGTGATTGAGGGAATAGACCACATGATAGTGATAGAATACAAATTTTAGTAATTACCGGAATAATAAAAAAAATTGCCATT